TATGCCAATATTCCATTCCACTATTCTTATTTATTCCAATACTCTTCCGTTGATTCAATAAATTACACTAGATATTAACTATACACATGGCCATTATATGCATTAATTTAAGAATGAGAGATATTGAAACATTCTTAATTTAATTATGGAAGTTGGTTCTATGTTAGTACATGCATTGTGTTTACATCATTAGCCCAAAACTCGTAAATCAACAAGATATAGGTAACATAAAAAGCTACTAATTCTTCATTTCAATCTTAGAATAAAAGATGCAAGAGAAATAATAAAAAAAAGTTTCATCAGGATAGTATGAATAACGTAATTCATACTTCCTCAATATCCAATTGTAGGATTGCTTACACAAAATAGGCTAAAATCACTAAACACAAAATAGGCTAAAATCACTAAGGGGAACTAAGAAAATACACTAAAGTTACCAAACTTTATTGAAAGTGATAGAACTTGTAAACAAAAGAATTAAAAAACTATTTATATTAAGTAAATAATGGTCTCAGGTACCGCGATGCTTGAGAATGTGGCTCCATGGAATCATATGATGAACTAGCACCTCGGCAATGCTAGACTTAATTAACTATGGTGCTAAACTAACTTGGCACATATAATGTTGAAATGGTGCATCACTTTGCTGATTAAGTGCTGCTCTATCATTCAATAATTGTTACACCATGATGTAGAAAAATTTAAGTGTTGTGGTGCTTGTGCAATCTAGCTTTGTGGAAATGTAATGCTCGATACTCAAGTGCTCAAATTCGCAAGACTCAAGTGTTGTAGTGTGGATTTTGGATGCTACAACACTATGGAGTTTTGTGATGTTGACCTTAGCACCACTAGGGTGTTGAATTATTTCTCATTTTTCCTAAGGCTCGTGCTCCGATTCCCTATTTTTGTGTCGAGGTTTTGTAAATGTTATGGCATTGAAGGTTGTAACTCTATAGTACTAATTCAACAGTTATGATTTTTCTCCTTTTTTGAGCATTTTCAACGTCAACTGAAACATTACATTTTTACATAATTAAAGGTAATAAATAATATAAAATTTATACTTAATAAATCCCCCCTTGTTTAAGCTCTTGCTTGTCTTTAAGAGATGGTGTAATCACCTATTAATTAACTTAATAGCCAAAATAAAGTATATAATTTTAAATTACTAAAATATTAGATAATTTATCAGAGATTAGAAGTTATTTGGAATGATCAAAGTTGTAATTCTAATTTGAAAAATTCTAAATAATTTCCCTAAATGATTATCCTTATTATTACTTGAATTGAGATTTTTCACTATAAATGTATACGTATATTTTGACTTGTGAATTTAAAAATGAATAATATATTATTTAGAGATTAGTTATGCTTGTAGTGAAATTAAAAGTTCAGTAAAGCATCATCATATGTTTGAGTTTACTATGTCCTATTTGAATTAATTATTAGGATGCTTTTTTAATTTGAATTTCAACCTATACACAATTTTTAATAAACCTATCTTTTTTCCTTTCTCAAATTTTCTCTTTTGATTATCATGTTTTTCAATTTTTCAAACTTGGAATAAATATTAATGATTTTGAATATCAATTTTTTTCCTTTATCCCTCTAATCATTCTAAATCTATTTTATGTAAGGATTCAATAAGAGTGATAATTCCATATTATGTTTAAAAATAATCATCATAATTTAAGCTACACTCATATTTTCCCTAAACTCAACTATTCATTCTTTAATTCAATAGTTAGTGCAAAAGTGCAAAGTTTCTAAGTTCAAAACAAATCAATGACTTAAATAATCTTTCTTAGTTAATTATTAAGGTTTTCAAATTATGAATTACTATGCTTCATTCATTCAACTTATTATCTAAGGTTTTATTATTATTCTTAATTTAGAAAATTTTTAATTTTTAATTTTATTGGCTGAATAAATAATAAAAATGCAAGTGCAATTTAGAGGATGATTTTCAATAGTTAAGCATAAATAAGAACATAATCAAATGTAAATGACATAATAAAAAATATAAATTTTAATAATTAAACATAAGTAAACATAAAAAAGATAACTAATATTTTCATTGAAATGGTAAAAAGCTCATAAGCAATGTGATAAAATCTACCCAAAGAAAATATAATAAGATAATTAGTGCATGACACACTATCCTTCTAGCTTATCTCCACTAAAGATCTACAATTTCTACTCTCATATGTACAACATAATGGAACTTAGACATTTTAAAACATCACAATCACAAGATCTCCCCAAGCTTGTTAAAAAATAAGTGAAAAATAAATAAAATAAAAAAAGTTGAAGCCATCTATACCATCACAAAAAAAACTCCTCCAGCCTGCTGACATAAGAAAAAATATAAATAACAGCCACCAAAATTTATTTTGATTCTTCGTCTTCCTCTTCATCAACTTCACCACTGCGCCACACAAATGATTGATATTTTAGGGTAGTAGGAAAATATAATTGATATGCATTTTTGACAAAGGGGCTCCTACTATACATCCCCATTAAAGCCTCATTAAATTTTACTATATAATGCCAATGCTTTTTTTGCATACTTGAGTAATGAGCCTGCCCTTCCCTAATCTCCTCACAAAAATTAGTCACACTCTACATTTGCTTCCTCAAATCAACCACTTGCTCACCTACAGACTTTGGATTCCTAGAAGTCCTACCACTAGTACTACTAGGCCTATTAATCAAATAAGGCTCACTAGGGCCAACCTCCTCCTCTACACCTAATCTTTTAAATTTCTAAAAAAATTTTTGGTGAGGGATGAAATGGGAAAAGATGTTCTTCATTAAGATCTCCCCTCACACTAGTATTAATACACAAATCATAAATAAGAGAAGGATAGCCCAAGCCCACAAAAGTAGTTCCTCTGATGATGTAATTCAAAGAAATGTAAATAATCTTTCCCACATCAATAATACAACCAACCTAAATAAATTTTTTAAGCATAGTAAGTTCTTTGGTCACCTCACTAAGGTTTTTGCTTAGTAAGAAATGAACAGAAATAAAATAGTGCTAAGCTTTTGATAATTGGTTTAAGCAAGAAATAGGAAAGTTAATAACTTTATGATCCATCTTCTTCCATACTACCCCACTATCAAGCTTAGACAAAACTCTTAACTACTCATCAGGACTAATGGGTGCTAAACTAAATGGGGTATATTCAACAATTTCAAAATTTCTTAACTTATAAATATGATTAATGACCATATAATCAAATGGTACCATCTTACTTTCACATAGCACCTATTCTCCATAACAACCTTTCCATTAGCAAAAAACTCTCTCACCACATTTATAAAAGTTGAATCGGGTTCCTCACACAAAAGCTCCTTGGTTTACTATCATATGTGTTACTTGCCCAAAGCCTCTCTTAAGAGTTAATTGTTTAGTTCCCACATTCACCACATACCACTGCTTAGCTTTAGTAAATATGAATCTACTCTTCACAAAGGAGGATGAGGCATGCTTCTTCCTACCACTATAGTTGTGTAGGACACATGGCACTATGGCACAAGCTTTGGAAAAAAAAAATTCCTAATTTTTTACTAGTGAAATGTTGTGGTATTTGTCATGTTCAATCACAGTAGTGCTAAGAAAGCCTATCATCGTGGCATTCCAACAAAATTAATTATGACTTTTACTTATCACTATAGCACTGATGATAATGTTACAACACTCAATAAAGCTTTATAATAAAAAGTTTATGAAAGTATGAATCATCAAGTGCAATGGAAGTAGTTCTATAAAATACATGACCTAACATCACAGTGTATAAAGGGTTAGCACTAGGGTACTAAATAAGGCATCATACATCATAGTGTTATTAGGTACTACACTATGATATTATATTCAATTAATTTTATGAAGACTCTAGAGCTGAAATGTCAAGTTTTAATGCTATAGTGTTGATAAGCAGCTGTCACAATGCTCAACGATATAACGCTACAATGCTTATTCAATTTTATCTCCTAAATTTTACTCAAAAATTAGTCAAAATAAAAATTAGTGACTTAAAATTGATAAATCTGAAAATTTATAAATTTTAAAATACATTTTGAAACACACAATCTAACAAATTAATAATTAAGCACATACAAAATTGATTTTTCTCCTAAATAGTACTAAATTTATAGTCTTCATCCATAATTGCCTAAATATGCATTTTTTGTTGTAATAAATCACCACCACTTCTTAAGTGGTCTCCACTATGCTCTTTTCCTTTATCCATTTGATTAATTTTAATATTTTTTGGCAATGTTTCATGTGGTATAAAACTAAAAGTGATTGCGGGCTATCCTAATTAATTTTTCATATTTTTTTATTGAAGTAGCTTGTCTTTGTAATTAAGTTCTCAATTGAATCACTACCTCTTGCAATGGTTTATACCTATCTTTGATTGATTATTTTGATTAAATCCTTGAGGAAAAGAAGGTTTAGTAAGTACTACTTGTTATTGAAGATTATTCCAATATTCTCCATAATTAGATTGACATGCATTTCACTTATTGTTACCACCAATATTATTATTAGACCAACTAATATTAGGGTGGTTCATATAACATGGATTATATGTATTTTAATAAAGATAATTTTGTCTTTCAATCACATTAACATTCCTAATCCCTTAAACATTTTTCTCTCCAACAAAATTTAAATCATGCTTTGCTAATTGCATAAGTGATCCTTATGCTTCACTATCTCCAATAGCAACCAACGTTTTAGAAATTGCAGCTACCTAAGAAGTAAGAATAGATAGAGCATCTAGTTCATAAACTCCATCTACTATCTTAGGATTCACCTTATTATAAGGCCATTAAAAATTATTTGTAGGCATTTAGGCATTCCTCAATTAATTTATAGGCTTTCTTAAATGGCTTTGAAATTAAAGATCCTCCAATTACTACACCAAAAATTGACCTAAGAGATCCTACCAATCCATTATAAAAAGATTGAATAACCAACCAATTGGCTAAATCAATGTGACGGAATTTTTCAAGCATTTCCTTAAATCACTCTCAACTTTCATAAATTTACTCACCTTCAAACTGGGAAAAAGATGAAATATCATTCCTAAGATTAATAGTTTTGGAAGGTGGAAAATACATAGTTAGAAATTTATGTGCCAAATCATTCTAAGTGGTTATAGAGTTTGGGGTCAAAGAATTCAACCAATTATTATCTTATCCCTTAAAGAAAATGGAAATAAATGAAGCCTAATAATGTCATCGCCGACACTATTATACTTGGATGTTACAAAGATTTTGAAGAAGCTAGCTAAGTGTAGGTTGGGATCCTCAATAGGTGTTCCCTCATACTAGGAATTTTGTACCATCTAAATTATGGAGGGTTGTTGTTCAAAGTTATTAGCCTGGATAGTAGGTCTATTGATACTCTAGTGGATTCCATCTACTACAAGATTAATATACTCCTTAAGAGTTCTAGAATAGTCTTGATTTTGTACTAGTTAAGATAACTTGAAAGCTTAAATATTTTTAATTATTTGTTTTTTTTATAAGGGTCCTTTTAATTTTAGAATCAAACAACAAGGTCTCTTTACTATATCTACTGCACATAAATATTAATGCATTAGAAAGTAAAGAACAAAAACTAGAAAATAATATTTTTTTCTTTAAAATTTTTTAACAAAAATTATTAAAATAAAAACACATGATAAAAGTAGATCTAAATATGCAACTAGTTCAACTGTATTTTTTAAAATTTTAATATGCACTTTACTTCCCCAGCAATAAGGAAAAAAATATGATTGGGGCATGGACATAAGAATAGCTGATTGCATGTATGAAATATAAAAAAGCCTTGGGGTTAATTGATGCTTTGGTTTTCTTTGATATGGATTACCCACTATATACACAACTATACAAGTCAATCAAGTAATAAAGTGATAGAGACAATGTCTATCCCATGAGCAAGTATTCTACTAGATTATAATAAAACTAGTATTGTATACTACAGATGCAAGGTTTATCCTACTAGATAAAAATTAGGGGTTTGAATTCTACCACTTATAGATAAAAAGCAAGATGGTAAAAAAGATACCAAATAATAAAATATGATTTCGATTAATATATGTTAAATAATTAAGTTGTCTTAATGTGGCACTTAAATATTAATGTGGATCATAGTATACGCCTCTAGATCTCTATTGATCTTGTTGGGGAGAAAAGGGAGGTTTATATAGTCTTCTATAATTTTAATTTCTCCACATAACCTAGAATGTTTAGCATCCTATGTTCAGGCATGCAAATATTCCATTCCTGTACTCCTATTTTTTTGAATATTTATCTATCATGGAAATATATCACACTATATATTAACTACTTACATTATCATTATATGTATTAAATTAAGAATGATAGATATTGAAAATAACCTTGATTCATTTATCACATAAGAGTCTTCGTTAGTATTTACATTATGTTTACATCATTAACCCAAAACTAAAAAAATAGATTGATATATATGACATAGTAACAAACCACATATTTATTTTAATCATAAAAGAAAAGATACAAGAGAAATAATGAGAAAACTTTTCACCATGATAGTACAAATGAACTCTACATGTCTTCCTTCTCCAATGGTAGGATTACTAACAAAAAATAAGCTAAAATCTCTAATAATGGTATCTTACATTTCATTAGCCACTCTTAGACTATACTCTAAGGGGGCACTAAAGAAATATAATAAAAATTACAGGTCTAAATTAAAAGTGACCAAACTCCTAAATAAAAGAACTGAAAAACTATTTATATTAAATGAAGGGATGACCTCAAGAATAGTAGAGCTTGAAATGGTGGCGTCATGGCATCATGAGATGAATTAATGCCTTTATGCTATTAGGCTTGCTCTGCTTTGGCACTGAGCTGACTCAACAAATCTAATGACTAAACTCGCATTGATAAGCTAATTTGGCGTAGCTCCATTTTTCCTTAATTGCTCCACTATGGAGATAAAAAAGTTGAGCACTATAATGCTTGAATGTGCAGTATGTTGCAATAATGTTGTAATGCTGGGTTCTATGGCACTAAAATTTCTAAGACTCGAGTGCTATGACATTGATTTCTATCACTTCAGTGATATGTAGTACTATAGTGTTGACCTTGGCTCCATCGAGGCACTGAATTATTTTTCACTTTTTAAGGCTCCAACTTTGTGTTTCCCTGATCTTGTGCTGAGGCGTTGTAGATTTCATGGCATTGGTAGTTGGAGGGATGCGGTGGTAGTTGAACACTTATAAAGTTTTTCTCTTTTCTGAGTATTTCTTGTAGAACATCAACTAAAAGAACATATTCGTTTTAAATTTAAAGGTAAGAAATAGTATAAATTTTACACTAATTTTTTTTTTTAACTCAAAGCCACTATAAAATGCCTATAAATACCCTACATTTTGAGAAAGATAGGTTATATATTTTGCATTCATTGCACTTGTTAATGAATTATCATTTAATCGCTAAGATTTTGTAGCTCTCCATCCCTCTATTCCATTGAGTTTAATCATCTTTGGAAAACTCCATTGGCCAAGTTCATGGATCTAGATCCACTACTTCACAACCCTTCTTCCATAAATAAGAAACATTCATGAGGATCAATCAAGTTCAACTTAAGAAATTCTCTACTCAATTCCCGACTAAACTGAGGCATTTTCCAAACTCAATTTTGCATTCCATTAGGTTTGTTCAATTGTGAAGTAGGCTTTCAATCTAATGTAAATTAGTTATTGGACTATAAGGTTAGGTCTAGATGATGCTATGGGATTAATTTGAGTAAGATCCACTATGTAGATATCTCAGATCATGCTAAAATCCTTCTATGACTAAGGAAATGTGTAGGAGGTTGAGTCTAAAATCCCTTCCATCAATTTAATTAAAATTAAATGGAGAGGTTTGATCTCATCTGATTAGAGTTTTTTATGTCCACATGTGGTTTTGAGCCAATACATCCCAATCTTTTGATCTCAGATCGAATGGTTAAGGATAATCTATGCTGTCCTAAGGATACCACGCCTATTTAGGTGGTTAATCAAGTGTGATCACAAGTAAAGCGTGTGCATAGTCAATCAATCTAACCATCAAATTATTTAAATTAATCCATAAAAATCATCTAAACCTAATAATTTATTTATACCTCACACACTTGGCAAATTTAGGTGATCTTAAGCTCTATGGATTTACATGAAGAGTACTTTAAAAGCATAATTATTTTGAAGTTTAACTTTAAATAATTAAAATGTAATTTAAGAAATTTTCTAAGGAGCATTTTTAAATTTATTCAGTAAATTTAATTCATCTTAAGCTCAAATTTGTATAGATAATTCTTGGATATGACTAGCACAAATCCAAAACGTTTTAGGTCTATTTAAGGTCTAGGGGTGCTTATATTGCAATTTCAAAATTCTAGGTAAAAAAAAAATGAGCAAGAAATTTAAAATTCAATTAATAAAATCCCATTAATCCATTAGGATTATTCTTGTTTGGATTGTTAGAATAGTGTGTGAGGGTTAGATAGCGCTTGATTTGACCCCATCATCTTGTCTAGGTAGCCTAAAATAAGATTTCCAAAGTATAGATGTATTTACTTTAAAAATTTATTAAAAATCTTATGAAGGCTTTATTGGATCCCAACTCCTAGGGATTAACACTTTGGTCATTTTTTACATGAAGTTAAATTTCAGGTCATCTCGAGTGCATTTAGTTTGTCAAATAGAAAACCCTATCTTCACTTACATAAATCTCCTAGGATTTTCTTTAATTAATTAAAAAATCAATTTAAATTTGAAAAATAAATTATAAATAACATTAGACTTTAAATCAATAAGAATTTAAAGTAAAAAATAAAAGCTCCATCTTAAATTACAGAAAATAAATTAATTAAAAATTAAATAAAATTTATTAATTAATTAAATAATATAATTAAAAATACAAATTAAATAGAAAATAACTCCAAACTCTTCTTAAACATAATATTAAATCTTTTGTGAGTTGTAATCATGATTTCAAGTATATTGGAGTGGATTTGGTTCAAAATTCAAAATACCCTAATTATTTTAATTAAATTAATTAATTAATTAAATGGACTAATTTAATAAAAAATACAACTAAATGAACAAAAATCATAAAAATGGAAGCTAAATTGTATTCAACTCTAAATGAAATGAACAAATTAAAAAGAATCATAAATCTTTAAAGTTTAGAATAAAAATTAGAAGTCAAACTTTGGTCAAACCATTTCATAAATGAATAAAATAAATAAATAAAGAAAAATAAGTGTAAATGTTAATTAAGTAAATAAAAATATACATAGAATATATTTAGTTAACATAAATAATAAATAAGTTAAAAATAAATTACGTTAATAAACATTAACAAATTTAAGAATTTAAGTAAAATAAATAAAGGAAATTTATTAAAAGTGAAGGAAATTTAAAATAAGAGAATTTTAAGAAATTAAATATTTAAATTAAAAATAAATCAAAAAATGAATAAAACTAAATTAAATTTTCTTAAATAAACTCATTCATTAAATTTAAATAATTAATTAAATCTCTAATAAATTTGAGACTTTAAATGTTTACTTTATGCCTTAGGGGGAACAAAGTCTTAAATTTATAAGCCTAAGACTTGATAATTAAATATTTAAAAGTAATTTGAATTGTGTATTTACCATGGTTCTTTAAAATAAAGATTAATAAATCATTAAATAAAATGTTAATAAAAATTAAGGACTCTATGCAATTGCCCTTTCTCTTTTTTTTAGAAGAATTGTAGCTTACATTATTAAAGGAAAAGAAATACAATCCTAATAAGTGATAGCTATCATATTGCAATCCATCCTCAACAATGACCTTAATGTTGATGGAAGATTGTTATCTATTCATTTTCCCAAAAAATATTACCTAAAACCACAAAAGTAACACAAAAATTGACCACATCCTTGTAGAACATCCTAGAGATAGAGTGAAATATTACTTTATTGAAATCCTTCAAGAAATGTAAATCTTGATTAACATTGTTTTATCGCCAATTAAGGATGTCCATAGATTTCTGAAGCACCATGTTAC